TGGTTAACTGTCATATCAATCATCAGTTATGTCATAGAGATAAGTCGAGACTATTAATACTTCAGATAAATAGGTCATCCCAAGTGGGGTTCTGGCAAAAGCAAATTAGTCCGAGATATCTTCTAGATTTGGTTAAACAAGGTGTTTTCTGATCTGAGATAAATGAAATACCTACAATTGTATTGGTGGGTAATGTGTAAGACGTAACTTATGATTCCGGGGACAATATGCATTAATCCGTGTCGATAATTGAAGTCAAACCCACACAAATTTTTTATTTAAAAAAAAATCACTAAACGGAGAAAATGGCCAACGGTTGTGGGTAGCACGGAGGTTGGTGAGATGGTGACCTAGGGCGCTTCAAGCAAAAGACCAGATACCCACTATAATTCCCAATGAGGGATTTGGAATTGCCCCAAGAAGAATCTCACCAACTCTCTCATTGTCAAGCTCAGGAAAAAAAAAAAAAACTCTCTCATTGTCAAGTCTCTTATCCACATGGCTCATCAAAAATTGATTCAAATTGATTTTGAGTTGCATGCACTTGTGTAGTTGGTAAGGACTGGTCTTGAGTGGCTTAAATGTTAAAATGTGGGTATTGAAATTAGGTAATCACCGTCAACCCAAATTAATAGCTCTTCGTTTAATTCGAATGCCAATATTTTTTCGATGAAGATGAGTATTAGATTGGTGAAGATGCTGTTCCAAGTGAAGGGTTCTGGTTTTTTTCTTTTTTTTTTTTTTGGGTGGAGATTCAAAGGTTCTGAAATTTGGTAATTTAACTACTCAAACAATAGTACATGTTGCAGTTTGTCGTAAGAATTTTTTTTCTAAAAAAAAGAAAAAAGTGCGCTATAAGAATTGACAAGTGTGTATTTCTTGATGGTGAAGCCGATCTTGGGAAAGAGGGTCAAAATCCAATTTCATGCAGTGTAGCGGCACAGCCACGCCTTGCGCCCACCCACCCACCCACCCGATGAGTTGCCCGGTCCCACATGTGGTTGTTGAATCCTACGCCCACCTTATGTCACTTGCTTCTCCTTAAATAAACCTATTATTTTACTACTACTAATATATATATATACAGTCATCACAAAAGTATTCATTTCGAACTAATCTCTTTGTACTTGTGCACCCATCTCCCAAGATACACAAGATAGTATAAGGAATCGAACCACAATCACACGGTGTCAGGACCTAATAAGGCTATCCAACATCAATCGAGCCCACCCCGATGGGCTTACTACTAATATATATAGACATATACATTTGGATGGATGGTTGAGTCATTACTCAAAACTTCAATGGGATGGTTTATGGGTGTCATAAAGTTTCCAGCGTTGACAAACGGAAAATAGCTTATTCAGAACCACATAATTTGAATCTATCAGATATCCACAACTTTATGTTTGAAGAACGTGACTAGTTTTCAAAATTGTCTCTCTGCTGGAGCCCAAAAAATGTTGGCTAAAATGTCTAAATTAGATTAAATGAAGACCAAATTGTCTAGAGTGAAGATAAAATAAAGACTTGAATCAAACTTGACATTGCTAATTTTCACTTCTTGAGATATGTTGAATCAAGGTTACTAATTCAAATATTTATTATATATTAGTTACAGAGTTACTTTTATTGCCCTCCCTCAGTTTTCTTTCTACCTCTTGAATTGACAATCCAACCATTTTGTAACTCTGATCATGATGAACTAGTAGTAGTGTTCTTGGTCAAAACTTCTTATTCTTGAATCTCTTTGCAATTTCCCTGCTAGAGCAAATCTAGTTGAATGATTTCGGTTGGGATTAATTGTCTGATGTGGTCAATGACACCCCACCGTCTTTATCTGGCAGTTGCCGGACAAGATCGGAGGTACAGTTCAAGAATGAAGACGATTCACAATCTAGAAATCATTGCCCGGTAATCAGCTGCCCCGCTGGGAGGGGAAAGTTGCCACTTGCTAAGGGGATAAAACCTGCACGGGAAAAGGCGTCGCAAGTCGCAACTGCCCCTGATCGTTTGACCCAAAAAAAAACAAAAAACAAAAAACTCCCCCTGATCGTTGACATTTCTGGACTCAGGGTTGCCTGGTCAAGAGTGGCAACCCACTAGAAATGAAGCCAAGACCAGGACCAGGACAATATCGTCCCTCGTTCGTTCGAAGTATACCGGTTCATTTACATTGATTGTAGCTTCAGCCTTCGTGATGATCCATAGCAACAGCCTTCTGCTCTTGGTTCTATATGATTCTTAAACAAACGGGTAAAAAGAAAGAATGTCATAAGTAGCTACATTATCTAAGAGTTGATAGATCTTATTCTAGTTCAATGATAAATTTAATTTCATCAATGTATGTAATACTCAAAAGGGGTTGTAGAACTCTCCATCGGATTTTCCTTTCTAATAAGAAACATAAATTAATTTTCAAGTCATTGGATGATTATTGCGATTAGAGGGATACCGACAACTTAATGCTTCTTGGTGGTTGTTGCACCCAAAAAGCTTCAATGTTTCTAGCTAGCAATCATAGATTGGCTACGACTCCTTTGGGTTCAAAATTAATCATATTGTCCCGTTTGGAATGTGAGTTTTTTAGGTGTTTATTTAAAACTTTACTGTAACTTATTATAGAAGTTTTTTAAAAAATTTATGAAGTGTGTTTTCTTTAATATTTTGAAATGTATAGTTTAAAAAGTTTGAAAAATTTTTTGAGGTTACTATAACTAAAGTTTTTAAAAAACTTGTAGCAAACAAACTTGACTTCCAAACAAGGCCTAACAGGTGAATTGGGAAATGCGTTTATGATGCAAGCGAAAAATTTTTTTGAAAATCCAAACATATGATGTCGAATACTCCCTCCGTCCCACTTTGATAGTCCTGTTTTCCTTTTTCGTCTGTCCCAAATTGTAGTCAACTTTTCAATTGAAGAATGTAATTGTATTTTAATTTTTCTAAAATGCCCTTATTCAATGTAAGTTGTTACTATAAACCTATCCCATTTAATGAGAGTTTATTCTTTTTTTACCATCAATTCAAGTTCCCATAAAGTTGTACTCTATTTAATGTGAGGGTATTTTAGAAAAATAGCAATCTAAATTTACTTTTCCAACAAAGTTAACTACTTTTTCTTAAACTGTGTGAAAAAAGAAACAGGACTATCAAAGTGGGACGGAGGGAGTACCAAATTTTCTCCTCTCCTCACAATTAATATCCTCGAATACCAAATTCGAGCATTAGGAAAAGCCGTTTAGGAATCCCGGAATTTGAGTGCGGAGAGATTCTCATAACATAAACGTAATGGGAAGGATAACAGGAATAGTTTAATTTCAGATGAAGTTGTGCCGGTGGAGATTGATTATTCACGTATAGTTATTAGTGTTGGTGTCTGCATCCAATTGCTTAAGAGTTGGAAGTTGGAACCAATTAAACGGCTGCTAGTCAAGAAAAATCCTGTTCATAATCAAATTATAAATGTATGGGACCAACTTCTTATTTGGGGCAAATGTTAACAAGTTTGTTAGAGGAATTTCATGACATTCAATGAAGAATAATAAAATTGCTTGTACAATCAATAATTCCAGCATTAAATTTGGCTTTTTATTATTGTTTATTAGCCAAGTTAAGAAGGTCGCCATACCCTAAGGAGGAGGAGCGGACTGCTCGAGCTATCCGGTGAGAACAGAAGACCAGCAACGCAAAATGACAAATTTGTGAGAGGTAAGGGTTCAACCCTGACTTCCAACATCACCAAGGAGGGTGATGACCACCAGACCAAATGACCAGTGGTTATTGTTTATTAACCAAGTTAAGAAGGTCGCCATACCCTAAGGAGGAGGAACGGACTGCTCGAGCTATCCGGTGAGAACAGAAGACCAGCAACGTAAAATGGCAAATTTGTGAGAGGTAAGGGTTGAACCCTGACTTCCAACATTACCAAGGAGGGTGATGACCACCAGACCAAATGACCAGTGGCTATTGTTTATTAGCTTCAAATCGTACAAATCCCACTTTCTCTTTGGTCTTTTTACGATGCTTTGTGCTTTGCTACGAGTGGTGGACTATCAACAATGAAGCCTGCCATGTACCCTCTTTTGGTTCAACAGTTTTAGATGCACACTTATGACTAAACTGTGATTACGAGATAATAATATTTCGCATAGTCTTGAATTATTTAGCAATACTAGTAAGGAATATAAATATATTCCACAAACATATTATTTTTCTATTATTTTGGGAGGTAGGGAGGTGAGTTCCTCAGTCTTACAATTGTTTATGTGCTGAGGTGGATGTGCACATTAGGCCACATGCATCCAACTAATAAAAAAAAAAAAAAAACAGTCACGCCTTCTTGCTAGTTGGCCCAAAATAATGTTAGAGATTGGGTGATGGTAAAGGTTGGTTGGTCCATAATTATCAGTTAGCTGAGATAAGAACCCAAAGGGAAAAAAAAAAAGGATTAATGGCGGCTTTTTGAAAAAAAAAATAGTAATAATAAATTGCTTGAAGCCTTGAACTGTTAATTATAGGTAGAGTGAATGGCCGAAATGGTCACTTAACTATTTAAAATGGCACCCTTTGGTCATCAAACTTTTTTTGTAGCCAAAAAAGTCACTAAACTCACGTAAACGCACCAGCGAAGTCATTTTACCGAATTTTAGCGGTGAATCATCCGGTTACAAGGGTCTTGAGTTGAATAAATATTCTGATATGGGCAAAAATGTCCAAAAGATTATTGGGGCAAGTGAACTCACAGATTGTTTCATTCCCAAAGTTGACCAATCGATCGACATTCACTTCATCTTCTCCGGTGAAGTTTACTAGCTGGGAACACTTCACTTTTCAATTTGACCCAGCGTAGAAGTTTACTGGTTGTGACCGAGATTCACTCTCCTCTCTGTCTCGTCACTTCCGACCTCCCTACTATCCCTATCCGCCCCACCACTAACCCCGACCCAACATCCAACTCCGACGACGATGACCCTTTGAGCCCATAGGTTTCATCACTGCTTTCTCAATTTGGTCTCTCGAGCCATACCCATTATTTGCTCAGTCTTCGATTTCCTTCGCCAGCCACCTAGCTGAGTTGGAAAGAGTCTTGGCAGTTCCAATGACTACACCCAGCCAAAAAAAAAAATGTTTACCCAGAAAAATGTTTTTTTTTCTTTTACAGAAAAAGAAAAGAACAGAATGATACTTTTTTTTTGTATTTCCGCAGCCGTGTGCTCCCATCCGTCACCAGTGGGTTGCCGAGGGCAGCCGTTGAAGGGAGTGCTGTGCTATCCCATTCTTCGAGAAAAGAAAAGGAATAAAGCCTTCTGCTAGTCAGCGAGCCAGTTACACGGCATACGGGTTTTCTTCTTTTATTTGTGTTGATCTGAGCACCGCCCTAGCGAACTATTGGGCTGAGGGACCCAGCCCAGACAACTTTGGAGTATAGCCTGAGTCACTTCCAATAGCTTCAGTCAAGCTCTTAAAATACGAGAAATCTCAATTTGATTTCAAAGCAGCAGATTTTACTGATTCACTTCCTGTCCTCATCCCCATCCCCCTCTCTTCATGCTCAACGATAATACTCTTAAATTATTGCCACCGCCTTTAATCATTCCCTGTTTCTCATTTTAAATTACAGTCTCTATTTTTACCGCCGGAGAAGACGAAGTCAATATATGGGTTCAAAAGTGGTTTGGGAATGAGACAATCTATGGCTTCACCTATTCCAATAACCTTTCAGACATTTTTGCCCCTTGACTATATTCCTCCATTCCACGTTGCCCATGCCACCGGATGAGAAACCGCTGAAATTCGATAAAATGGCTCCGCTGGAGAGTTTTTGCGAGTTTAGTGACCTTTTCGGCCACAAAAAAAGTTTGGTGATCAAAGGGTGCCATTTTTAATAGTTTAGTGATCTTTTGGGCCATTCACTCTTATTAGGTATACCGGGTCAAGTTTTATTGAGGCGTTAAGTCCACGCACTCATTTTACGGAATAATCTTATTTTAGGCGGTCTTGTTACAAAATCCGGTTTATTTTGTATTTTTGTGATTTAGTCCACTTCGATACTTGCTTGTGGGATGGTTAAGTACGGGTGTAAATAAATACAGTCAAATTGAACGCCTTAGTGCTTAAATTTATTTGATTATTTTAACAAATTTGAAATTGAATTCAATTTTGACTTGTTTATTCGTTCAATCAAATTTGAACGGATTTTTTTTATCGAATTTGAAAGTTATTAAACATAAAATGTTGTTCAAATTTGCTTGACTAGTTAACGAATCTAATTCGAATGAATTCTTACTAAGTCGAATTCGATTTGAGTATTAAATAATTTGGTTGATATTTTTGTCCTGTGGCTCGAATTCAAGTTCAAAATATTAAGCAGGCTCACGAGCTCGAGTATATATATATATTTATTTATTTTAATAGTAAAATTATATATATATCCTTAATATTTTATTATTTATTAAGAAAAAATATTATTTTATTTATTTTTTTAAAAATAGAATAATTAATTTTTATTTTTTCAAGCTCGAGTTTTAAATTACCAACTCGTCGAGCTCGAGCTCGAGTTTGAGTTCAATAAAAATAAATTAAGCCTCGACTTGATTAGATCAAAATTCGACTCGATTCGATTCGTTTGTAACCCTAACTTCAACTGTTGAATGGTCTGCAAAATACATAACAGCTGAGTCAAATGTTGTATATATATCCCTCATATTTTGTTTTTCCTATGTCAGCCATAAGTGATTGGCAAGCGGACTAGAAATAACGAATTTTGCTCAAACATAGCCCTTCACGTCACCACGGAGTACAAAAGAGTGGACCGGCAAGATATTACGTTGCTGAGAAAGTTTGTTGGTACCAGGTACTCAAAAAAGTTTTCAATAGCGATCTCTCTTTTTTTTTTCGTCAATACGATAGTTTCCTATACTATGGGGAGGGGGAGGACCTGAAGAGATCTTGGGGTAATCTAGAGGGGACTAAACCACCACCGGATCAGACGGGTGCATTACGCACCTGTCTGAATTTTTTAAATAAGGCCACATTTAATTGTGGCAAATTGATGAGGGCAAGGTTTGAACCCTTGCCTCCCACCCCACCAAGCCTTAATGCTTTGGTGGTGGCCACCAAACCAAAGGCTGGTGGTTTTTCAATAGCGATCTCAATCATGTTCGAAGGGAACAATCTCACCATCAAATACTCACTAGATAATTACCGCTATTAATTGTACAGGTCTCTCACTCACATGTATTGACGGTTTTTTCCTCTAAAATTTCTTTAAACATTGTAGATGAGCATCCAAAAACGAAAAGATGGATCTTTTAATAGCTAAATGCTTTTATATACCAGAAGAGTGCCATAGTCTAAAGGTATTCATTCTATTTAAATGTTGCCAACATTCTTGTCGCAAGATATTTATAAACTGCCAAATACCATATAGTTTTTTTTGATAAAACAGAAGCCAATATCATTAAAGACAGCTGCACTAATGACAAAAGGCATATAGAACATATCTCAATATATTTAATTTTAAAAATCATTAGATTTAACAAAATTATAAAATAAAAAAAATTACACTATGAATCACAAACCATTAGATTTGACTAAATATATGTGTTGTTCCATAAATATTTGTGCTTGTTTATTCCCTCAAATCTGTCAATTAACTAGTTCAAGTTCAAAATTGGTACTGAGATCTGTTGAGAAAACTCAAAAAATTTCAAATCCAACATATATATCCTAAAAACTTTTAAATTTGAGAAAAAAATAAAAAAACTAAACAAAATACTATTATAACATTACCGAGTAAGAACCTTATCAGGGGGAGTAACTTAAAATGTATTAGAGCCAAGTTGAGCCTTAACATACAACCTAGAGTTACTTTTCTATCTGTGGAATAAATTTGGTAGTTTTCGTCCGTTGATTACTTGGGGACCATTCATAGTCGCATTATTTTTATGTAATTTCGGATTCAGGTTTCCTTTTGGCCCGAAAAAAATTTGATTGTTTTAGTGCCATGAAGTATATTTTGTGATCCCATAAATTTTGGCGAGGAAAAAGGAAAAATGAAAAAAAAATAAAGAAAATTTGGAGAGGACTGGGCCAGAATGAGCCTTAAATCCATTGATTTTGAAGTTTGGACTCGGGCCACGATATTTAGATCTACCGGCTGGACTAGGCTTCACTTTCATGGTCAGTTTCAATTTCAGGTCCAAAATCCTACTGGGTGTGTAAGAACTCTTATCATTATGCGTGACTCACCGGTGACCCACTGACCGCGCTGAAATTTTCCTAGTTTCGACTGTTCAAGACTTCAAGTCTAAGCTGAAATTTAATTATTAGTTTAGAGGCTCAAATTCGGCTAATTACTTAGAATATAGGTAGAAAAAAAAAAGTCAGACACTTATTGATCCATTTATAAAACTTGAAATGAAATTTTAATTGATGGAGGCGAGAAGTTTAAAGTTTGGATTGCATTTTCCATCATTTTTCATGGAAAAATTACTGTAGCGATTTGATATATGTGAGGGAAAAAGATGATAGGGAAATGTGATCACGGAAAACGACGATATTTTCCTATGGAAACAAGCAATCCAAGCAAGGAAACTTTTCAATTCCTTTAGCAACTAGTGGCTCATGAAAATGATGGAGCAAGTATCATCATTTAGGCATTGTATGGGGGTTGCGAGAGAACCTCTAAACCATATAAGTGTACTATTATACTCTCTAAATTTTTTGAATAAATAAAGCACAATGTTTCATTGTAAAATGGCGTCTGAACCTCCGACGAGAGAGAGAGAGAGTTCTATGAGACTCTGCCTGACCATTTGATCGAAGTCCAATTTAAGTAGTCTACGTTTTCGGTCGGCCCAACCTTAGAAATGGTCAACAAAGGTGAATCCTCTGATGGCAAAAGTTCCAAGTCACGGAATTTCACATTAACTTACATGCTATGAGAATTCAATGTCTTAAAAATCATTTTTTTTACTTGATTAAAAAAGCATTAAATTTAAATGAGGATTTCAGTATTTAGCTGCTTCTAGCATGGTCCTCTATTACATGGCGAGCTAAAACTTCGTTAAAATGCAATTAATCATTACAAATCCATGAACCAGATTAAAATTTTGCCTGTAATCAACCACTATTAGGAAAGTTCTACAAATTAAGTTACAATTTAAACCTGCACCTTTAATCTCTCACCAGATTTCTTTCTTTTTTCTTTCGGAATCATCTACATGACTAAGAAAAGTGGCGACCAACTTTTTATTTTATCTTCCCCTTTTATCCATTTCTTTTTCCTTTTTTTGGGAACACAAAACTCTCTGCCTAGGAAAAAGCTGTCCAGCCCAAAAGGATAGCATCCGCTCATCATCGGGCCCACTTATTAAACCAGCACATAGTAAATAATTAAAACCCAGAGAATAAAATATATCACGGTCCAAAAATAAATAGACCGTAGTTAATCCACCGTTAATCCACAGCTCACCGCTGCCGAGTCATCCCTCGTCACCCAAAACTGCCTTCCATTGATCAGTTCTCTCTCTCACTCCCCCCCCCCCCCCCCCCCCACACACACACACACACACGCACAAAATACTCTCACTCTCCGGGTGCTTCTACATTGATAACTTTGCTTGCCAGCTCGTTGAAAAATCCCTAACGCAGCTTCATCAACTCTCTCGACTTCATTTCGGATGCGATTTTGATTTGTTTGGTAAGTTTTTTAGATCGTTACCAAGCATCTGTGTTAGTTTATGTTCGTGATCAATTGTACAATTATTTTTTTCCCCATATATCATGGCGATGAATTGCTTTTTTACCGTTTTCATTCTTTTCTATGTTGTAACTTCTTATGTTATGATCGATATTAGCGCAGAATGTTATTTAGCTGTTTGGTGATAGTTCGAATAAAATTGGAACGATAGAGAGAAGATTATAAGTATGTGGAGTTGTTAGAATTGTTACGTATTATGTGAAAAATGCATCGTATATGTGTGGAAAATGGAGTCAACTCTGTGGAATTTTCGGGCATCTTGACGAAAATAGAGAAATAACGATAGAGTTTTGCTGTGCTGGTTTGAAAATGTTTTAAATGCTGTTGATTTCTCATTGTTGATTCAATTTCCGTGCTAATATTAAGAGTATAAAGAACTGTGTTGAAATTATTTTACAATTTTATTGCACTTTATACTGGGCAAGTTTTTGCGGTGATATTGTAAATCTCAAATTCTCTTAAGTTAGAAATAATCGGGGAAAAGGATTTCAAATGAGTTATTTGCTGGTGGCATGCATCTTGTTAATTCTTTAATAATTAGTATAATTTCCTAAACTACCAGATGAAAACACATGCCAAGTAGGCTGTTGTGGATAACATAAATAGTTGTACGATTTTTTTCAATTGACTAAATTTTAGTGAATTTAGAGTGTAAACTG